ATACAAGGACAATGCAGATGTAAAGGTATATTATTTGCACTCACACACAGTATATATTGTATCGTTGGATTGAAAACATATTGCCTAAGGCGTAACGATTAGTGTCTGTTGTCATGGTGCAGACACAAACAATATTGAAACCTGATCTCCACGTGTTAAATTGATACTCTGAAACATATATGTCATAGTACGTTTAGAGTAAGTCATGGTTGAGGTGAGTATGATTTTGTATATGCACCTTCATCACACATTTCCGGCTTTCGGAATTCATGAGAACATAATAACTATTTTCACTTTTTTTGCAGATAAGTCATGCTGCGGCTGGCGTCGCGGGATCTACTGCAATGGCTTCAGTAGTATCCGTTATTGTGACTGCGTCAGTGATGTCCAGTAGTGGCGAGCCAGTGTGCCAACAGATAGGTAGTTGTTGTAATTCTCGTAGTATAACATATATATTGAAAATGCATGTGCATCAACTTTTCTAACTATCACTTTATTGTACAGATCCCGTGTAAAATAAATTTTATTTAAACGCAATTAGAGACTCGCTGCACGACAACCACCACTCTATGATACTGATAGTGTTTTACAATGCAAATATTTAGAAATTGAATACAAGCCGGTAGGCTAGTTGGCAATCCGCTCCACTCAAAAGTCAAATTTCTCGGTAATGAAAAAAGACATAAACAACAAAACATAAAAAACTTTGTCTTCGCACTCAAGCTACTTTTTAATCCTAGAATTATAGGGTGAGATACATTTGGTGCGAAAATATTTTAAGAATCAGTTTTTTGGCTGTTGCCATGGAAACGGTGGGCCAAGAAATTTTTCAGATTTTACTACCTAAGTAGAGTGAAAGTGACTTGCCTGCCAAGTTTGAACAAAATCTGCCCAGCCAAAACAAATCACAGAAATGTTAAAAAGCCGTTAATAGTGAACAGTTACCCAAACTTTGGGTTCAAATTTCTCAGTAATGAAAAAATAGCAAACAGTAACTTTGAGCTCACACTTAAGCCGAGTAGAATGAGCATATTGATCAATACATGTTCGAAATATTCAATCCTAAACTTGTAGGAGTAGATACATTTGGCGCAAAACTGTTCAAAAATCAGTCAGATTTTTTTTTCAGATTTTACTTACTAACCAACCAAATGTAGGTGTGATCTGCCTGCCACGTTTGAGCCAAGAACAAAATATCACATAAGAATTATGACGTGAAGACACTGAAAATGATACACACACACACACACACACACAAGTGATTTTAAGGGCAATCCTAGCGGACCGGATCGCCAATAATCCTACAGATGCCAATGTGCATATAATAATGTGAGGAAAAAAACATCATTCTCAAACCTAAATTACTGATCGTGTGAAAAATTGCCAGAGCCTTTAAATTACAAATCCAGACCTGATGAGGAGATGTTTGTAGATACGTTTTCAAACTTGAAGCCAACCACTTATAAAAAAACGGGTGAGATAGACTTATTTGCTTATCAATAGCTAATTTACATATTTCCTCTCTGCCCAAACTAAATGGCTGTTATAGAGCTGTGAAATCACCGCGCATCAGTTGTGTAAATTAACAAAACGACCATTTTGTACTAAGCATTTAAAAAACGTCGTAGATCATCCAACTGTTTTTTATTTAACAACATCTTAGTTTAAATATATCCTAAAGGACGATTTATATAGATTGCTGAACAGAGTCTACGTGCATACTTGCGTCTCAAGCTTATACTTGTAACTAGGCAACGTGATAATTCTAATCCTAAGGTATTAAATGACATTCGTTTGTACTAAGATGTCGTTGTTCACATTCTGACAGTCGTGACATTGTTAAAATTTTAGAGCTCTGCCGCTTATGAAACCCATTCAGAACACAATTTCTAAAAATAAAAGAAGGTATATGAATGTGATTTAAAAATCATTTTATTGGTCAAGATTGAAACACAAGTTTTAATGTCATACAAATTGAAGGATTGGATCTATGACAAACATTCTCCTTGTGCAACAAAATATGCTATAGTTTGAAATTTCATTTTAAAAACACAATGTTGAAACATGATTATTTGTCACTGCTGGTGATTCCCCCCTCCCCCGAGGTCGATCTTAGACCCAGTAGATTATTCTGACCATGGTTATACTAGGCTTTATTGGTATGGTCTATTCTTTTATTACGGCAGAGATTGTGAATCTATCGAATTGCACGTGTACGTTGTATACACATTCACTACAAGTTATAATTCCAGGCTGTAATCTTTTCGGGACAGTGCGTTCTGGTGTGTAGGAACGCGCAACGTCTTAGTGGGAATTGTCCAGTACTTTGTTCACATTTGTGCCTGTAATTTCAATTGTATGACCCTACAGCCATGAATAAATGGTTGTATACTCTCAGATTTAAACCAATTGTTATGTGTAGTGTAGGTCAAAGGTAATGTATTATAGATTACTCATCAGCAACGTGGTTGAATAAATCGGCTTCCATCTAAGTACAGTGCTATTATCGTCTCTTTACAGAATATACATACCTCGCAGTGATTTAAACACTAGAAAAAGTGGGCGATATTTTCGAAAATGACCACGTATTGGGGCGATATTTTGAAGGGGATTGATATCTTGCATGGCAAGGATATCGACCCCCAACGTTCTCTACAGGGTATCAGAAATTACACTCCACTTCTAGTGTAATTTCTGATATCCTGCCACGAATTTATCACTCCGTCGATACGGTCGTGATCTCTTTTCGCGGGGAAGCCTAGGAATTATATCGCAGACCTACCTCCGAATAAACATGCAAACAAAAACCTTCATGAATATTTATTACATCATGGCTGATCATAATTATTACATAGATTTGAAGCGGACAATGAAATCAATTGATTTTTATATAGTAATATTGAAAACACAGTTGTAAACGTTCGATGCTTCATCTTCTTGGAAACTGAAACCTTATCTGAACAAGACGAGCTGACACCATTTAAAATATTGATGACTATCTTCTCCAAGTTCTGGGACGATCGTTTATAGCTACGAACTCTGAGAGAAAAAAAGGACAAAGGTAGTTAACGTACAAGATTGAGTTGCTGCCCCCTCCACTACAAGACAATACAATACAATTGTTTTTTTATTCTGTCCATGTGGCCCAGTATCAAAACTTCATCAAAATAGAATCTTTGCCGAGGCATTTGACAATTTAATTTTTAAAATACGAATGTATCTAACGTGGCAGCGCACCGGATCAGTAACGTTTGCGTAATACTGCGATGTTTGAGCTCACCTTGGTTAGATTTAGAAACGTATTCTACATACTTTAAAAAACGCTATTTCACCAGGTGGTTCAAGCATTGTTATTTGAGGATTGTTAAAACTCAATGAGCGATGCTCCATTTGAAAATAAAATTGTTCGTAGTAGTACATTTTCCATTGGACATCTATTTGCCCTCTCGAAATTGTTTCCTCTTGTTCCCAGTCCTGCTCGTGATAATCGTTTCATTTCGGAATTTAACACTTGTCGGAAACCTTCAAATGGACATCAGTTAGGAAATTAATACGTTGTTGGCGTTCATAACACGTGTGATACCATAACCAGCGGGAGTAATGTTTTGGGAGGGTAGAAATTTCCGTCTACCTTCCTCACCTCTAAACTAATTTTTTTTCAACCAATAAGCCATATCTTTTATATCCATTGCATCGAGACTTTGCAGGATTTCACGTGCTCGTCAGAATTGAGTTCCATGCACGCGTTATTGCAGACCACGGCTCATTCGTTAAATGCACGAATTGTCTACATGTTGCGTCGCTGTGTATTCATAGGAATTGCATCTTTAGCAACTGCTCGTACTGTTGAGTCGGTCACAGGGTCAGCAAAACGTCCAAGTGGATGTCCCTGAAACAATATAAATAAATGACATGTCATTCAGTATTTTTTATATGTTTCGTAAAACAGTAAACAATGTTGTTATTATTAATTATCGCTTTCCAAGCCGAGTTCATTCAGTTACTCGGCAGCCTGGGTAGCCGCGATCAACTCGTCCTCGAAAACGTCTGAAAATACAGGGTAACTTATTGTTTCAACAATGCCAAAAAGAGAGAAATGCTTCCTGGGATCCTTATTTATACCCCTCGATAGCGTGATTGGCGAATCACATCACTTTTAGAATCACCTGGGTTATATTTTATTCAATCTGATTGGTTGAAATCTGAATTATTTGTTCCAGATGTATATAACGATTCTATGGAAATTGCAAACGATAGGAACTATTTGGTCTGATATTGACCTCAAATGAGAATACAATTGATTTGGGGTTATTTCATTATAAATAAAAGATGCTTCCCTGCAACTCCTCGCTTGGTGTGTATGTTATATATAACATGACTACCTCGGCTATAGCCATACTATCGACCTCCACCTTCCGTTGTCGCCTCGGTAGTCGTGCTATATCTCACACTTACGTCATAAAGATATAGAAACTATGTACGTAAGTACAGCTGTGAATGAACGTTTCCAGAATGCATGTGAATGCACCAACGTACAACCTGTAGCCTAGAAAACTGACATTGTGTGTTTTTTGGCGGCAACTATCATGAATAATCTTCAACTGTAAATGGTGTATATTATATCAAAATATCAAAAACCAGCACTGCAGTCAATAGAGGGCGATGTTACGAAGCATCAACTTAAATACATTCAAATTATTTTCAGTGACAAACGCAACAGTTTGTGAAGAGTGCATCAATGGTGGGACATGCCTCTACGATACATGTATTTGTATGAGTGGGTATACAGGAAACCAATGTGAAACAGGTTAGATATATCTTCAATTACATTATATCGCTGTTTGTCCTTAGTGTATACACGCTCAATTTGGTCAATGACCCCACAGTGAGCTATCCCCTAAGGACACTTTCAAGAGGTTATTATATATCGTCCACAAACTCGAGTAGTTTCTACAGTCATTGAAATAATAATTCAGAACGACTTTTATTTCCACTGAGATAAAGTCATGTGTTTTGTCAATAATGTAAGAAGCTGTGTTGTAGTACCATCTTACTAGTTTACTTCGTTTTTTTTGAAATAGACATAGATGAATGTAAAGACAACCCATGTCGAAATGGAGGAGAGTGTCAAGATGGCGTCAACTCCTATACGTGTGATTGCATATCAGGATTTGAAGGAAATAACTGTGAAAGAAGTATGTTATTTGCATATTTTAGGCCATGCCTAACCAGTTTGTACAGCATGCATTTGACATTGGTATCAACACAACATGGCAAGAAATATATCGATAAATACATAACTAACATATATGTGTAATAGTGTATATATTCTTGCTGAACCATAGATATGTGTCTCTGTTTTCAAATTTCTAATTTCCAATATAAATTAGATGTACATGGTTATTTGGATTAATATGAAATGACCATTGTGAAACAGATAACGCTTTTAAGTAGTGTAAATGGTCAAAAGTACAATTATTTAGGGAACCACGTTATTTAGTTAACGGTCGGTAGTCATCGCGCCACGCATGTGCGAGATAGAAAACAAAGATGGCGACTTTGACTGTTGCGCAAATCAACGAGTACAAACCGAGACGTTACCTAGCTTTAATTAGGTATTTTTGGGTGATTGGAAGGTATCGAGGGCGTCACCGGTGACAAGTTGCGCCCAGGTCAAACCTCATACTCGTGATTTTCAGTAGAAGATCGCATTGAATTGTGGGAAAATCAATGTTTATCAACACAAACGTCGCACATGCACAGCGCCACGACCACCGCCCTTTAAGTCTGGAAGCGATGTGTAAGGCATATGGATTTGAAGAAAACAAAAATGACATTTCGAACATGAATAAATATAGGAGGAAACATGACTTGAGATATTTTTCAGTAACCACAAGTATAAGTACTGCCTCAGTATGTTTGAGTCTGATCAGAAATTAGCAAATCGCTATTGGAATTCTCCGATTATTAGAATATTTTTGTGATTTACTGCCATTAGTCGTATGCATTGCCTTGACTCTACTAACACAACCTAGGCAAGTTGATTTACATTGCTATTAATGTTAATTTGCAGGCATTGACGACTGCAGGCCTAATCTATGTTTAAATGGTGCTCTCTGTGTAGATGGTCTAAACAGCTTCACCTGCAGTTGTATTGCTGGGTTTGAGGGAGAGTACTGCCAGATTCGTAAGTGAAATGTCTCATACTATTTTTTTTTTACAATTATATGCTTCAGACAATGATGTATGAATCCTCTCAAATAAGATTAACTGGTTTTGCTGACAATGCTCAATCCAAACGATTATTAAATGTTATATTATTATTTATTATAATCATCCCAGCATATTAGGAAATGCGAATTCCAATTATGGAATGATTACACGCGTGAGCGTCCTCTAATAATAAAAACAAACATGGCAGCCCCCAGGATTTGACCGGACTCCACACAGAAAAGTTCTGTTCTAAATTTTTTGATTTCGGAATTTCCTGATGTATTCTTGGGAGTAAAAGATGTATAATAATAAGGTTATTATGAGGATATCGATAAAATATGAACTCAGACAATACGTCGTTGCATCG